CCAGCTCAACTCTATGTCCTGGTAATGAAAATCTAGCCAAATCTAGCTCGGTGTGGTGTGGTGTGTGTGTGTGTGTGTGTCTGTGTCTGTGTCTGTCTCTGTGTCTGTGTGTGGGTCTGTCTCTGTGTCTGTGTGTTAGCTTAATCATTCTACAATTAAAGACAGAATATATCTTGGAAGGACTCTGTATTATTCTTACATCTTCATATTCTACCATGGCATATTAAGATTTCATCCTCTCCTGCTCTTGATGTACATAGATAACATCCTGTATCATAAAACTAGCTCATATGAACTATGAGAATTTTCAGCCCAAAACTGTGAACAGATTATTCTAGAAGTTTGATCACATTATCTATGTCTTTAACCATCCCCCCTCTTTCATGTGAAACATTTCCATTGTCCATTAGTGTCCAAAGATCCGTTTTAATAGGATCTGGGTGCAAGCAATCAGGACTCAGTGGTTTTGTGTAACATAGCCAACCCACATCTGCAAAGCCAAGTAATAGAGCTCAGTCACACACCAGGTTTCCATTCCCTCAGGTGCCGAAAGTCATTCTGACATCGACATCAAATGCTGCCCCAGAGATTCTGGTCTTCCCCATAGCAAGTTTTATTGAGTGTTCACAAAATGGTGGTTATGATTCAGACCCTAAAGAAGAATCACATGGGTGGGTCAGATCTAACGTCACAAGCACATTTTATTTTGTAAGCCAGATCTAGTCATTTAAGCAGAGATAAGACTTTGGGTCTTGGGTATGTGGCAGGATAGATCATCCCAAAGTCCTTTGCTAAAATAAACCTAGCAAATAATAGGTAAAATATGGCAAGCATTTGTTAAAGGTGTAGTAGCGCAAGAAAGACAGAATACTGCTTGGAGGTAGAAGTGAAAAGGGAGTTGAAAACCATAACAGTAAGGGCATGAGCCACTGCTGTAGCTAAGCTTTTGGCAGGGTTTCAGTATCCACTACTACAAACTGAATGTTTATGCTTCTCCTAATCCTAAAGGTATCAGGAGATGGGGGCTTTGAGAGATGACTTAGGAATTGAGGAAGAACCCTCACAAACTAGATAAGTGCCCATTCTATAAAGGGATCAGAAAAGTCCCTTGTCCTTCTTGCCATTCCATGTGAGGAAGCAAGAAGGCAGCCTTCTATGAACCAGGACGGAGTCCCTCACTTGGACCTCCCATCCTGCAAACCCATGAGGAATACCAGTTCTGGTCTTTTTTAAGTCCCTCAGTCTTGTGTTGTGTCTAACAACATGAACAGAACAATACACACCCCAGAACAAGAGAGAGTCTATGTCTTTGCCTCCCTAGAAGAAACATCCATTCAAGATAGTCTGCTTTGTTTGTTTCCCAGTAGCCAAGGCCAACAAATTTATGCTAAGCCGTGCCAGGATACTCCAAGATGGTTTCACACCCACATCTGTGTCTTCATGATAGGGGATGGAGTTGTCATGCTCACATAGCCACTTAATCACTTCATCAAATTAACTAGGGCTCCATTCTGTGTGTAAACTTACTGACCTGGCACTGCCAAGCAGTGCTCAAGCCATTTTAAAATCATCACCTAGCAAGGAGCAGTCAATTATGTTTGTTCTTAAACCTCATAATACCAGTTATGCTTAGTTTTTGTAATTTTGTAATTCAGTCTCCCAAATTAAGAAAATAGATGAGTGTGAAAGAAAGAGAACTATTATTGGTGTGAAATGCAAGTTCAATACTTTGGAAAGAATTAAAAGTATGTATTAAGAGAAGGCAAACAACTGTTAAAAAAAAAAAAGAATAAGTCCAAATAAGGAGTTTAAAAAAACTCTAGATGAACCACTGTGAATCTGGTTGTCTTTAGTAACAAGATGCCTTAGACTGGGTAATATTTTACAAACAACAGAAATGAATTCGTCACAATTCTAGAGTCTGAGATGTCCTAAACGAAGATGTCTAGTGAAGATTCTCTTCAAAAATGGTAGCTTCTTGCTGCATGCCGACATGGCAAAATCCCACTTGTGAAGACAGAGCTCCCAAAGGTCCCTTCTCTTAGTACTATTGACTTTGCTATTAAGTTCCATTCTGTGAATTTAGGAAGGACATCAACATTCAGATCATAGCAGCCATCAGTCAATAAAGTTACTGGGAAAAATAGAGCATACATTTATCTGGTGGATTGCTTCACTCCTTGTTTTAAAAGTCAAACAAGAATTTAAAGACACTTGCAAATCAATCTGAGTACTTAATCCCACAGGCACTAGCTTGTGAAATTCGCAGTTTTTCTCTAGTGTCCCATGCTGTTTCTCCCCCAGAGGCTTAAGCTGCAGAGATTTGAGCTAAGAGAAAATTAGTTTCCAAAATAAAAGTATTACATCATAATCATGAAGTATACACATTTTGAGACAAGGCAGATTTGGTTCGAATTTTAAGTCTAATTTGTTTTTTGTAAGTTAAGTCATATGACACCTCCAGTTCCCTCTCTTCATCTGAAAATAACAACAACAATAATAATACATTTCTATTGGAATTTTTTGGGAAAATTCAGTGAGATCATGTTTGGGGAACCACATGATACCATGCCAGATAGAAAATTCACACTGGATAAAAGATAGCTTTCAAAGATTGCAATTTTGTTTTGCCTTTCTAATGTATTAACTGAAATACAGTAGATTCTAGTTCATTAGAAAGGCAAGGTTAGAGATGGGGGTGGCTCATACCTGTAATCCCAGCTACTCAGGAGGCTGAGATTTGAGGATCATGGTTCGAAGCCAACCCAGGCAGAAAAGCCCCTGTGAGATTCAAAAAAGCAAGAAGTGGCACTGTGGCTCAACTGGTAGAGCACTAGCCTAAGGTAAGAGACAGCATCCAGGCCCTGAGTTCAAGCCCCAGGACCAGAAAAGAAAAAAGAAAAGAAAGGCAAAATTTTAGTTCAACAAAATAAAAACCAGGAAACAGATAACTTGAAAGAAGTGGGATGGGATTAAAAGAAGAGGGGTAGATTATTGAAGAGAAGAACGCAGTGAAATCTTCCATGTATATCCTCAAAGTTGAAAGAAGAGAGCTGCGAGGGATGGGTAGAAATGCTGAAAGGGGTGTTCAAGACCCATTTATTCATGAACCTGATTTCTTGAATGAAAACTCATTTATACAACTACTTGGGGATAGTAAATTTTTTTAAATTTTTGGAGTTTTAAGAAAGACTTTCACTTCTCATTTTTGCTGTTTTAAGGCCTATCTCTCCGGGGTATGTATCTCTTACCTACCCAAGCAATTGTAGGACTCTGAGGTATGAACACCAGCATAGCAAAAAAAAATAACTGCACAGACGTCTTTCCTAATCCAATTCCATGATTCTTCTTTTGAGCATATGCTGGTGCTGGGGCTTGAACTCAGAGCCTCCTGCTTTCCTTTAGCTTCCTCCATCAGCTCAAGCCTGGCACTCTGCCACTTGAGCCACACTTCCACTTCCCATTTATTTTTTGCTGGTTAACTAAAAAGAGTCTTTCTGATTTGTTTGCTTGGGTTAAGTTGGAGCCTGGATCCTCAGATCTCAGCCTCTTGGACACTGGAGGTTGGGCTTCGTGCAGCATATGAATTTGAAGGGGACACAGCTCAAACCTATATTATTGCTTTAAGTACCTGATTTTTCCACAGCATGGAAATAATCATTTTCTGGAATAATGACAAGAAGAGAAAGAATGAGTGAGGAGTTTTTAATCTTCTAACAAATGAAATTTTATCTATAATCTTGCAGGACACTCCATATTTGACCTATAACAATTATGTTTATTAAAAATATTTAGCAATGTGGCTTATTGATAGAGTGTTTACTTGCCTAGCATGCATGAGGCCCTGGGTTCAGTTCCAGTGTACCATATAAATAAAAGAGTGATTAAATAAGTCATTAAAAATATTTGAGGGGGGCTGGGAAGGTGGCTCAGTGGTAGAGTGCTTGCCTCACATGCATGAGGCCCTGGGTTCAATTCCTCAGCATCACATAAACAGAAAAAGCCGAAAGTGGTGCTGTGGCTCAAGTGGTAGAGCACTAGCCTTGAGCTGAAGAGCTGAGGGACAGTGCCCAGGCCCAGAGTTCAGGCCAAAAAAAAAAAAGTTAAGAGGTCAGATTTAAGGCTTTATAAATTGATAGCTAATGTAAAGAAGAGAGAGAGAGAGAGATAAATGTTCTTAATATAAGCTACATTTTTGTTGTTGTTGTTGGTTATGGGGCCTGAACTCTGGGCCTGGACGCTGCCCCTCAGCTCTTCAGCCCAAGGCTAATGCTCTACCACTTGAGCCACAGCACCACTTCCAGCTTATTCTGCTTATGTGATACTGAAGAATTGAACCCTTGTGCATACAAGGCAAGCACTCTACCACTGAGCCACCTTCCCAGCCCCTACAAATATTTTTGATACATTGATGTTGAAAAGTACCTGTTTATTTGTATACCATAGGTATATACAAAATCAGACAAATTATAACTGTCTACCAATTGAGATAAAGCATGAGGGATAAGGATTATGGAGAAATCTACCTGGTCTACTTATGAAGTATTACAAAAGGAGCTTATTAAATTGCCAGTTAAACATTTAATGTAGACAAATGGGGCTGTGTGGTCAGAAGAGGACATGGTAGCCTCTGAAATTCACAGTTACGGTTGTCAACTTGAAATGGTGAGCAACCATAAAGTGAGAGAAAAGAAAGGAGAATTAAGAAAATAGGCTCACGAGTTTTATTAGTTTACTGCAGGATTCAGAATGAACCAGGTCCATGGAGAAGTATTGGGTATCAGCATTTTGAACAGTACGCTGAGAAGGTCCTCACCAAGGAGAGCTTCAGAGAATCTTGTAAAGGAGAGAGAAAGACAGAGAGACAGACTTCATGACCAGCAAAGAAATGTCATAATTCCTTCCTTCTTTCCTACCCACAGAAAATTATTTTGATTCTTTTTAACCAATGATAATGACAAATGTGATTGAAATATTACCATAAAATTTCTTTGTTTTAGGCCTCTTTTTCGTGGAAGTTCAGATGTGGATCAACTGGGAAAAATCTTGGAGTAAGTAATACTTTCATATCATTGGCCGTAGCACTGAAACATCCAGTGACTTTCTCTTTATCTTCTTATAATATATCTATCTCTTGTCTTTCCTACCCAAGCTGCTGCAGCATTGTTACTGTGTGTGTGGTGAGTGGCGCAGAGGAGAAGGGCTGTTCTCTGCATCATGATGTGTGGCTTGACTACTCTACTGTGCTCTGAAAGCAGTATGTTACCTGACTGAACCTTCGTCTGATGCTCTTCTTTTACTTATCTCAGCTTCAGCCTTTTAATGCAGATGTTTGTCTGCTTATGGTCATTTCAAATGCACCCTCCCCCAGTCTGAAGTTGGGCATTTGGTCTACTAACTCAACCCATCCTTGTCCAGTGGGTTCCTGTCTCCCATCAGATATCCTTGGTTACCCAGGTTAGTCATATATTGATATATAGATATAACTTACATTATTTTGTTTTCCTGGACCAATGAGAGAATGCTATGCAGTCCCAGTTCTCTTTGTTGCACCAAAATAAGATATTGGAACCATGGACTTTCTTTCTGGGTCTGTGGCTCAATAACTCAACAAAGTCATGTAAAATACCTATAAAGAGCTTACAAATAGCTTACAAATAGCAGGTGTTTTTCAAATGTTAACAGTTGTTATGGTTATTATTATTATTAACCATGAATTAGTTAACCTCTTTGTTCCTTAACTGTGTGATCTGAGAAATGAAACGTACTTAAGTTCTCCATAAAATCTTTTCTTGGGCTCAAATTCTTTGGTCCTAGTTGTCACCTAGCTTCTTGATGGTTTGCAGAGTTCCATTCACGCAGACATGTTTTTGCATGTGAGGCTACCTATGCTTTCATGTTTGTAGAATGTAGCTGCATTTCTTCTCACAAAGCATGTGCTATGGCATCCCTTCTGTATTTGTGTTTTGGTCATGCCCCATGAGAACTGGGGTGGAGTAGAAAGAAAATGGGAATTCTGACTAAAAATGAGTTATCCCTATTATGAAATGTGAAGTCTGCAAGACAGCAAAGAAGCGCCCCCACGGAACAGAATTTCAAGTTAGTATTATCAATTCAAGCATGGCTGCTTAAAGCAGAATAAACCATAAAACCTGACTTTGTTCTTTTGGTGACTAGAAGCAGCTCTGTAAACTGTGGTCAGTGCTAGTGCTTCCACTGGGTCTGAACCCACTGGTAGTTCAGAACATTTGCTAATTTTGTTTTGGGTTTTGTTTCATTTTGTTGTTTGGGTTCCTGCTCCCTCCCTTCCACTGACTCCCTTCCTTCCTTCCTTCCTTCCTTCCTTCCTTCCTTCCTTCCTTCCTTCCTTCCTTCCTCCTTCCTTCCTTCCTTCCTTCCTTCCTGCCTGCCTGCCTGCCTGCCTGCCTGCCTGCCTTCTCTCTTTCACTCCCACCTTCCTTCCCTCCCTTCCTTTCCTCTCTCTCTCCTTCCCACCCTCCCTCTTTACCTTTATTAGTTTGGTGACTTGTTTTGTTTCTCCTTTAGTCTGGGGGCCTTCCAGGTCCAGAGCAGCTGCTACTGTTGCTTCTCTTGAGCCTTCTGGAAGATAGGACAATTATGCATAAAGCCTTTCTGTCACTCCTGCTTCTGGATGTCAAGTTTTGTTTTGTTTTAATCATTCACTGCTGGAATGTCATTTATTTTTCCTCCTTGAATATATTTTCTGTGCGTGTGATCTTAAAGAGAGCAGAATGAGTTAGGCTTCCAGTGTGCCTCTGTGAAAAGGAAGGTTGGTCTTCATTGAAACCCACCTGCCAGGCACTGACAGCTATCATCCGCTTTCCCCTGATCACCCCTCCTGGGACTTCTGTGCACCTCCAGCACAGTCTGCATTCCTGTAGCATTGTTAGCACCTTTGGTACAAGGAGCCAGGGCAGAGGACCAATACGTTTGACTGGCTTGCAAGAAAATCAATTCCATTTTGGCAGAGGCCTGGAAATCCTATGTTGTCCGCAGAGGAGAAGCTGTAAAGTTCTATGTTTTGTACCTTTGAGTTTCAGTTCTTTGTTTCTGGCATTACTTCATTGAAATTTTTTTTTCTCTGTAAGTGCATTTCCTTGCCCAAGAAGAGGGACAATGCTGCACCCTAGTGTCATTGCTGAGATACTTAAGATTATTTCTGTCCCTGCCATCATAGCCATTATAAATTTTGTTTCCTGTCAGTCTTTCAAGTTAAATGACAACTTTTAAGGCTTGTTTTCAACTGTCTAAATAGTGGACTATGATGTAAGCACTTTTTAATGAATCTATCAGAATTTCTCAATGCTTAAGTAATTTGTCCTTACCTTCCAATAAGTAGTGGGTGCTAAATTTGAACCTAGGTCTGCCTATTTCCAAAGTCTGTGCACTTTTTTTATTCCTTGTTATTGTCTCCACATTTTTGCTCCCAGAATGCTTTTCAGGGGAAATGTAAGTCTTAACTACTCTTTCAACTATTTCTTTGCAATACCATAGATCTCCTTTACAGTTCAGAGTTTACATAGGGAAGAATAACATGCCTTTTAGTCTTCATTTTTGTCATATTTTAGTGCATTTAATTTGTATTTAATTGCTGTGTTTAACTGATGTGTTAATAAGCCATTCTGGATGAGACCATGAAAATATGGCCTTGGGTTCTGTTAGAACCCAAAAAAGCATTAAGGAAGATGTATGTGCCCCGTCCAGTCTTTCATTACAGTGGGTTTTCCTTAGTCAGTACATTAGGGCTCTCCCTTGGTGTAGTGTTGTATTCCTGTTCTACCTATTCTCTTATATTTAGTTTCTGCTGCTAGACTGATTTCTTACCTCCTAACAATGAATTTTATAGTCCTACTAGGAGATTATCTTTGATCCAAATCCCACCCTTTTGCAGAAGGACAGATTACACAGTGAAATTGTCCTGGGGTTCCCTGTCTGTCCTCCCTCCATCCCTTCCCCCTCTTCCAACTTTGCTTTCTTTATTACATAGCACTAATTCTCATTTACATATTGTTCTTATGTAGTGTGATTGGACTCCCAGGAGAAGAAGATTGGCCTAGAGATGTTGCCCTTCCTAGACAGGCTTTTCATTCCAAATCTGCTCAGCCCATTGAGAAGTTTGTAACAGATATTGATGAACTAGGCAAAGACCTACTTCTGGTAAGTTCTTGCAATGCAGAGTCTTCACTGGGCTGATGATCCTCTGCAGATGGGGGGATAGGTACAAATGTCAAGTTCAGTCTTAACTGCATGCATCACATGCCACAGCCTCTGTGGTTTCCTTTCCAGCTGGTAGCCTTTGTTTCTGGAATGTCTTTCTGATCCTCACTGTAAATGCACCCTTTTTGAATACATATTTGAATATAGCCTTAGAGGACTCTGGATTTTCTTAGACATAGGCTTCTTTAGAAATAAATATTAGGTTTCCTTTTTTAAAGATTCAAACTTGCTTGTCATTTTAATGTTAAATAGTTGCTTCTTTATAATAAGATTTTTTTTCCAAAAGGAATCAAATACCAGCACTCTTACTAGTTACTGATCATTTTGATAAGTATTTAATGTCATGGACATGTAAAATATTTCATCCAAAATTAGGTCTAGCTGGGTGCCCACCACTGGGAAGCTTATAATGTGAGTATCATAGCTCAAAACCAGGCCACGTGGGAAAACCTGTGAGACACTTATCTCCAATTAACTGCCAAAAAAGCTGAAAGTGAGGCTCTGTGTGCCTCAGGTGGTAGGGTGCTAGCTTTGAACACAAAAGCTCACAGACAGCACCCAAGTCTTGAGTTCAAGCCCCAGGGCCAGCACAAAAAATAATACCCAAAAACCTAGAACTACTGTACTCTGAGGGGCAAACTCATAATATCTTGTACATAATTTGTACTGTATTTGAAGGACTAGAACAACATGTACAGAAGAGTGTGCCTACTGTTCTTGCTATTAGAGCCCATTAGATAATGAGCATATCCTTTACGTCCTTCATTAAGAGCCCTTGATAATCCAGAGATGCTCCCTTCAGTGGATATTGAATCACTGGGGACCTCATGAATAGCTTTTCTGCTGCCTGTGAGTTCTAGGGGCAATAGGAAATAGTGTCCATTGGGTAGGAGTGCTTTTCTCCAGCTGAGCTCTCAGCAGGAGGTGTTGGTGGAGGGATACAAGGGGGAAATGAGGCATTGCATTTGAAGTAGAACTGAGATCAGGGACCTGGTTGACAGCTTGGAAACACAGAGATGCTTCTGTTGCTGCTGCTGCTGCTCCATAAACTTGTCTCTCCCTGCTTTCACCTGCTACTTCAGTATCCCTAGCCAGAAAGATCAAACCTCTTGATAGAGAACCAGGCACTCCCTGAAATGCAAGAACCCTTTCCTTCACCATAGTAATTCATCCCTACAGCTGAGCTGTCAGCCTGGAACAGACTTTGGTGACTTGAAGTGAACCTGAGGGACTCATTGGAGGGCTGCTGCTAGCCCCGCCCCCTAGGGCCCCTTCCTGGGGGTTTGAAGGAAACTTCCCTTCTAGGAGGGAGGGGGAACACAGCGCTTGGGCAGTGGGTATGGCTTGCTGCACTACCCTTCTAGGCTTCAAGCCTGACTTACCTTCTCACCAGGCACTCTTGTTCAGCCTTTTTCTGAGGAGCTATTTAAACCTTAGGGATGAGTACAAGATGAATATGATTTAGTGTGCCTTTAAATAAATATTCATGTTCATTACAGCCACATGATAGTAAATAGTTGGGTAACTGTGTAAGCACATGGTACACTAACATGTTTTATATCAGTTGTGGTTTTCTTTATTCCTTTATTACAGAAGTGCTTGACATTTAATCCAGCCAAAAGAATATCTGCCTACGGTGCCTTGTCTCACCCATACTTCCAAGATGTGGAAAGGCGCAGGGAAAACCCAGATTCCCACCTGCCGCCTAGCCAGAACACCTCAGAGCTGAATACAGCCTGAGGCCCCCTGGCTGCCTCAAGCTGAGCATCTGGAGAACACCCTTGGTGGCCAGTGGAACCCCTGAGCAAGCCCTGCAGAGCTGTTGAGGGCACTGTCTGGAGGCCTTCCAGATGCTGTCTTCTGGTTGGGCTCTTCTTTCTCCAAGGAAACCACCTAGTTTACTGTTTTGAAATCAATGCAAGAGTGATTGCAGCTTTATGTTCGTTCATCTGTCTGTCTGTCTATCTGTCTGTTTCAAAAACCTGGAAAAACTCCAGAAGAGAAGCTGCTGACCAATTGTGCTGCCATTTCATTTTTTCTAACTTTAAATGCTGCCAGTGTGGAGTGGGTAAACCAGGCACAGCTGACTTATGATGTAATCTCTCTGCAGCTGCCAGGCCTGATTTGGTACTTTTGAATTGTGTGTGTGTGTGTGTGTGTGTGTGTGTGTGTGAGTGAGTGTGAGAGAGAGTGGGAGAGTGGGAGAAAGACAGAAGGAGGGAGAGAAAGGAGAGAGATTTTTGCAATCTCTTAAAGTGTTACTTTCTGTAAACAACGAGAATAATTGAGTTTCGAAGATTCCAGGTGACTGGTGAGTAACGTGTGCTTGTTCACGGAAGGTGATTTGCCAGAGCAATCTTCTCAAATTAGTTGAGCCTAAGTCCTCGGCATTTCTTTTCTGGCCAAAAGCTTTTGCTAGCAGAGAAAAAAAAAAGATAAAGTTCTAGGCACAAATCGAAAGGAAAAAAAAAGAAAAAGAAAAAAATATCTAATACCTTTTAGGACACCTGTTTTTTAAAAGCATGCATTCTTATTTACTCTTCTAAAGCTGAGTTTACTCGTTGTAAGTCCTTCTATATAGTATCATACTTTATTGGTTCTTTTGGAAAATAACCTTATAAGCTTTGTGTTACTTGCTATAGATTTAGGGAATATACCTCAAATACATTTTTTTAAAAAAAAAAGTAGGGAAAGCCTTTATTTTCTGGGTTGAAATGTCATTATTTCCTTTGTTGTTGTTATTTTTTTGTTTTAGCAATTTGCTAAGCTAGTTCTTTAAGTAGTAATGTAATGACATTTAAATCTGTACCCTTATATCACACACAGCCTTGTTTATGAAGTGTCCACCTTATCTCTCTCTCAGCATCTCTCATATATATTTCTACCCCTTATATATGTAATAACAGATTGCTTAAGCTGTTCTGTGCCCCACCTGCTTGCTCATGTTCTTTCCTTGGGCCTTTCATAAATAGGCAATTTCACATTGTGGTTTACAGCCCTAGTTCTGCAATCTTAACAGGGTTCCATCTGTTCTCACTCTTCATGCAATCTTCCCACCTGGCATTCACTTATGTTACCTAGGCGATGGGTAGGATACTTGTTCTGCTCTGTCACCAACACAGATTGCTCGAAACTGTTAGTGTTTTACATTGTTAAAGTATATATTGTCAGCATAGTAGCTGAGGGAATTATTTTTTACTCTTTTTAGCAATAGCTATTTACTCTCTAAAATGATCTTTTCTCCATCCCTTCCTCTGATCTTAAAGCTGTGTGTGTTTCTAGTGCCTTGTGCTCATTCCTGCTCGCTGCAGAGCCAGCCTGGGCATTCTTCTAGGATTTCTTCTCTTGCTGTTTTCAGCCTTTTATATCATACCACCTTTCTGCCTTATACTGACCTTAGTGCTGAGCTGGCACTAGTAAGAAGAAGACACAAAAAGTGTATTTTGGCAACTTTAGCTGCCTGTGCTTTTTCTGAATAGTATTTTAAGTGTATGCAGGAAAAAGCTACATCATGTTTAGACTTAGAACTTTCAAAGAATGGCCTTTGCTTCAACCAGCAGAAAATGTTTCAGATCATGTTTATGTATTCTCAAGCCTTACAGAATTTATCACAGCTTCATATTGCATATGACTATCTTGAATAGAATGGGAAAAAAATAGGAAATGTCTTTCCTTGAGAGCTTTTGAGGTTAGGAACCTTTTTTTTTTAAATATGCTTTTTAACATTGTTCTAATACAATAGAAGAAAAAGATTTTTTTAAGTAAGACTTAAAAAGAAGGGCCTTAACAGTGTTTTATACTTCCTTCATGTGACAGCACTAGTGTGCCATCAACACTAAATGATTAAGATGATGACTCAGGAGCATCTAAGACAAGGCATTCTCCGTGTCTCCCCAGGAAAAACAGTTCAGCCTGTCCTTTCCTTTGATCAAGAGTCAAAATACAAAGACATTTTTGTTGGGGCCTAGAAATTGAATTTAAAAAACTCACTGCACTGATTTATCATGATCTTTTGATTAGCAATGCACATGTTAAAATGAACAACTTTTGAGTTCTCATTTGCTTTTGCAAAAATATTTTCATATCTTTGCTCAGAAGAATACAGCTTTTCTGAACTGGAAATTTCGGCATTCTTTCACATTTTAAGCAAGTAGCCCAATTTTTATTCCTCTCCTCTGCTTTGGGCTTATTTCTAAGTAGGGTTTATAAAGAAAAATGAGAGCACATTTTGGCATTAGATACTTCAAAGGCCCAAAATGCAAGAACATTGCAACCTCTCTGACCTGCGCAAACGTTTCTTCCCAGTTGTGCTTGAACAGTTACTGTCTAGCTGTACATCTTTCCACATAGCCTTACCACTTCTGAAAGCCAGATCCCATGCAAGCAGCATGGCTATGAGGACTCCTGTAGTGAACAGCGTCTAGAAGCATGGGGGAGAATAATAGCTTTGGGAATGGGACTTATTTTTCTGGGACATAGCTTTCAACCATCTTTGTCAACAGCTAGGCAATGGTGGATTGAAAAGGCCACATTGCCCCCATGTTCTACTGAAGTAATGTATAGCAAATAAAATCATTGCAAGTAATCCAAAATTAAGCTAGGGCTAGTGTGCAGGAATGTTCCTGATAGCACACTAGTTCCGGGGCTCAACTCAGGACACCCTGGCATTGTGAAAAGTGAAGTAGTTACAGCCATTGTATAAAAAGAGACAGAGAAACATATCCATTAAGTTATCATAAGCTATTTGCATGGTAAACAGTAATAATGGCCTAACCTTTAAAACACAATTCCTGAGAGCTTGTAAGAAACCAATGGGTCAGAGTCTCCCACTTGTCCCTTTTAGAAGAGGATGAGATCTCCAAGAACAAAGAATTTGTTTGGATTAGCTTGGAGCCATTTCATCCCCCCCCCCCCATTTTTCTCTCAGGAAGTACACACTGTGAATGGCAGACATTTCATTTAGCCCCAGGTGACTTACTAAAAATAGTTAAAAATTACCTAAGAATAGAATCTCAGCAGATTCTAAATACAAGTGAAAATTTCAGAATGCAGAGGATGTGGATAACTTTAAAAAAATCCTCCTAATAAATATATAGTTTGACTCTAAACTGTGGTACAATCCGTCTTGTTGAGAAAACCAAAGTACCAGGCAGTTTTGAACTTTAAATTACATATGTGAGTTGATTTTTAAGTAGTCATAGTTGCTTCTTTTTAAAGTGGTGTCTTTTAAAGTCATTAATGACAGTTCTCATTCCAATATGGAAATTAAATCATGTAAACTTCCTACTATCATAAAGACATCCTGAATATCCTCTGTCCAAAGAATTGCTTTTAAGTGACTTTTTTTTTACTTTTTTATGATAAGCATGTAAGAGTGGCTTACATTTTATTTTCCAAATACATGCTTTTGTTACATAGTTGATTCCAGGGGAAAATAATGTTAAAAGTTAACATCCTCCCATAATTACTTGTGTTAGTGATGTTGGTAGTACTCAAAAGAATGCATTATTTACTTGTGACATAAAAATAAATGGCTTCTAAATCTTTAAAAATTATTTATAAATCAGTGGAGAATGGAGTTAATTCTTGACAATGGAGATATTCAGAGGATAAGTTCAATGTTGCATATAATTTGGAAGATACATTTTTGCTTACATACATCATTGAGAATTTTTATTAATGTCACCTGATAACTACAAATTTATCCAAAAGAACCCACAAATTTTATAGAGAAGCTATCCCAAGCACAGATAAATCATTTTCAAGATTGAGCTGCACAAACCCACACATTTGTATTTGTCCTTTCAGAGGAAGAAACAACCACACTTAACTATATATGCCTAAGATTATTCACTATTTTAAAAAAAACAAGTTTTTAAAAGGCATGTGTTTCCTATGACAGCTGGACTTTAGAAGAATTATAAACCTTACCCCAAAATCCTTTGTCATCTTCACAGTGGAAAAACTTGAGTTTACCAAAGCCTGACAAGCATTGGAAATCCTAAGTGATTCCTGGTGTTCCCTCAAACCCAAGAGGCTTCCTTTCATATCATATATTTTTCAACCCAATTTTCTAACACAGCTATATATATTTTATGTCTCAAGCATCTCAACTTTTTTGCCCTTTTTTAGAAAATAAGCCAAAACAGTATCAGCCCTTTATCTTCTGACCTCTGTAAACAAAAGAACTGTAGAAACAGAAAGGATCCATTTTTAAATGTTTCTTTTCCCTTTTTCTGGGCTTTTTAAATGAAATACCAAATGCCTTTTCAAATATTTTCTGCTCGTATTCTCCAGGGAATTCATTTAGCATAATGAATGGACTCCTATTAGGATATTTGCATTTCCTTGATTCTGGTGCTCTGGCCTTCAAGAGGAAAACAGGGACCACCTGAAAATAAATACAGGATTTTCCTCAAGCATCTACTGAAATACTGTTACAGAAACTTAAAGTTAATAGGGTAGCAATGGAAGTTTTCTTGCAAAATTCTGTTTAAAATTCACAGCCCTAAGTGCTTGGTTGTTTGCTTGTTTTATTCTAGAAAATTCCACAAGGTGGCGCTTTGAGAGAAAAATAATCTGACCCAGGCTGAGGAGGTACTTCTAAAGACTTCATTCTACCTTAATTTTTCTGCACATCTTTCCTTAACTCTTGCCTAATGCTTGTTTTTTCAGGATAGTTTATAGCCTTTATACTCTGTAATTTAGATTTGTACTTATTAGCTAGGTTTTGAATGACTGCAAATAAATTGTGCTTGAGAATGGCTTTTATGCCCATCTTGATCATTTACATGGACAAACTTCCTCATTTATCCAGAAAACCATTTTGGAGGTAGGTAGCTACTTACCTCACTTTTCTGTTTTTTGCAAGATACATACTGAAAAGGCAACTCTAATCTGTGAACAAGGTAGTTTTGTTAGGTGTTTAAAACTCCTCTAGTGGCCGCAGTCAAAACACCCACTCCTCTTGTCTGCTTTCACATCCCCTACCTACTCTGGTGGGCTTTTGACAGACTCGATTTTTAAATTCCTAATTAAAAGTCAAGTGGTCAAAATAAGTGGTGCAACAGTAACTAAACAGACACATTTTTTCTCTCTAAAGAATTGCAGTCTTGGAGAGAGCCTCCAAAATACCCAAGGTTCCCTAGCACAACCCAACAGAGGTTGGCCAGATGCTTGACAATGGAAGCAAACCATACTACACCCACTAGGAACTGTCAAGGCTCTAAGAAATCAGACCCCTTCATCCCTCTGCCTCCACAGAAGTAGATTCTGTGTTAAGTCCCTCAGTGGAAGACTGAATTCAAGCTTCAGTTTAGTTACCTGGACGGTCCTTGCGCTTTCCAAACTGGACACACCCACACCTGACAGCCTTCCTTCCAGGCCCCGCCCCCAGAATTTGAGTGACAGGGAGTGTGGCTTCCAAGCCCCGCCCTGCCGGATGCAGTCTGTGGGCCAGGGCCCTGCTGCTTCTCAGAAGCATCTGTTGTGCACTAGAGATGTAGATCATCCTAGAAGCAAACGGTGTCTTCTGCGTCTCTTAAGTACAACACAGTTCGCACATCCGGGTATACAGAGATGGCGGTAGGCACTGCTCTGCCAGCCCTACCAGGCCTCTCAAGCTCTTAAGCTCAGCTCTTTTTTTTTTTTTTTAAAGGGAAGATATGTAATTACAAGGAAGAATTTTTTTTATTTTTTTATTTTTTTATCATTCTACATAGATGGCAGAAGATATATTCTTGGGAAAGTTTAGCTTGGAAAAATTGTTTTTTTCTGTTTCATCTTCAATTGACAGAAGCTG